GTGAAGTAAATGTGTCTTGTATTGAAGGCTGTATCACATGCAAGAAAAATGTGGTACATAACTGTAGCTTGATCCAAGATTATAAGCTTGAATTAAAAAGTCCAATCAATACTTCATAGAAGCTCATTCGTATTATTTCTCCCATGGCTTCTCTATCTTTTAGAAAAACAGAAGCCTGTGGAGTCCATGCAAGGGAGACAGTGTATCTGGCAGAAGAGACAAGGACTCTTTCCTAGGATCTGAACTGTCATGAAGCTCAAAAGCAACATTGACAGTGTAGAACTCATTATTTTCTTCAGTGAGCCAGTATTTTGGCTAGTTAATATGATAAACAAAATGTCTGACAAAGAATGCTACTTCTGTTGTGTTTAAAAATGTAACACCCAAAGAATCTCCTTTACGGATGTCCTATTTATTATTGAACGTAACTTTCATGTGCCACAACTAAAGCGTGACAAATATCTTTTAATCCCTGGCAATAAGCACACATCTCTGTAGCTTCCACCATGGAAGTACTTACATCCTGAGCAGAGTAGTCTGACTTTTAGCCCTTGCTGCTCAAACCAACTGAACTCCTTTATTTTCCTATGAGGGAAAGACCGACATGTCTCAAATGTGCTTCTACAAGGTTACGTTATCTGTCCTGGAAAGCCAAATTGTTGACTGGTTTCCTGGAAGCTTGAGACTTCCTTTGCCAAGATACATTACAGTAATTGATCTCCCATACATTCCCACATACAGCTGCATGTAAATGTGTCTTGTGAATAAAAGGGAAATAAATCAATGTTGCTATCTGTCTTGAACACCTTCTTAGGCCCTGGAGGACCGTCCTAGTTCCTTGTTGGTAGATCAAGGTGACAGCAGCAGTCCATCCTTCAACCCTTCAGATAACTCCCTTCTCTCCTCCTCGTCACCCATAGATGAGATGGAAGAAAGGAAATCCAGCTCCTTAAAAAGACGACAGTAAGACTACATTTTCACTCCATTTTTTAGAATGTTTTGAAGAGAGGAATGAAATGTTACAATTAACGTCCATTTTGAACCAGCAGCAGAAGCTGTTAGTCTGAAAGGGGGAGGACTTGTGTTAGGTGTCAAGTATGTAGTCATGTTATGCAAAGAATTTTTCTTTCCTCAAACATTAGTTGCAGTTTCAGTGATTTTTTTTGATTTTAGTCATACCTGTGTTTGACTTCTGTCGCGTGTCAGTCTCATTTATTCATGAAGATGCTGGTCTTTAAATGTTCAGAGGGCTATTAGGCTTCAAAAAACTGGTCATTCCCTTTGTTCTGTTTGACCACACTCTGTTTCTTTATGTAGTAGTACACTGTTACCGTGGTAGAACAAAAACAATCCTGGTTTCAAAATTATTTGAATCTGTGGGTAGATACAACAGTTCATATACTTAAGAGTCTCCAGACCAGAGACGTAATAGCATTTTATTTTAAACAATAGTTAAATTGTTTAATTTTAATGGCACATGTAAGAAAACATCTGACTTTATCTAAACAGAAGCCAGGCTGCTCCAGTTCCAAAGTCAAAGCAACATCTTGCTTAGAAAGAATGCACGTTAATTCTCCCGTTTCAGCTTTGCTTATCAAACATATGTAACTACAAATGTGTAGAAATTTGTACTCCATCAATCCTCTTTAAGAATCTGTTTCCTTTTTTTAATGAAATACGCGTTCACCATTTTCTTTCCATTGCAGCTATGTCTTACAGGAATTAGTAGAGACAGAACGAGATTATGTACGAGATCTGGGCTATGTAGTAGAGGTACGATGTTTTTCATGCTCTTGTTTGGTTGTTGTTGGTTTTTTTTTAATGTGGTACTGACCAGCTATGTAGCATGAACTTTACAATTTTTTTTCAAAAAATAAAACACACAGGAAGAAACTGAAAATGTGAATGTTTGCATTCTGACTTCTCCCTCCTGCAGGCTTTTAACATACTAGAAATATTGTATTAAGTCTTACAACTTTCTTTCTTCCTGTTATTCTGGTGCACCTTACTGTTCTTCTGATGAGTGTAGTTCTTTGTCATTTTTTTTAAGATCACTGCCTCTGCCTAAAGATATCTTAAACTAGATGGTTTTATTTAGCACAACTAAATTTAAAAAAGCATTGTAGCTCAGCACATAGAGCAACGATTCTGGATTTGAAAGACTTGCTTCCTTTCTTACTGTTAGGCTTCTCTTAGACTTCCTACTTTCCCCTTCTATAAAATGAGATAACATCACACATCTCCCTTCAGTCTTCAGCTACTAACAAAATGAATTTGGAAGAGTAGAGAGAATGAGCGTGACAGTGAATTTCAGCCTAATAAGGTTCAATTCTTAAGCTCCGTTTTAAAGGGAAGGAGGGAAAGAAAAGTCGGCACTGTGATAGTCTTTTTGCAGTATTTAAAGGGTGCATTAGAAGGCTATGAACAGATGTCTTTTTGTAACTGACAAAATAATTCCTGGTGAAAATGCTAGACATCAAAACATAAGCTTTGCAAACTAAAACCAGAACTGGCTAATTATTAGGAAAAAATGGAAGGAATAGTGTTGTGTGAATATTACAAAATTTAAAAACACTCCAAGCTCTAACTATGTGATAGAATTGCACAGTGAGACAAGTATATAGACACCAAAAAAGAGAAGATGGGACTATGGGAAAATGTAAAAGGAGCTTTATTGCAACCAGAATGCTTGCTAATAGAATTAGTTTTTTTTTCTCATACTGCAAGTAGTAGTCCGTGCAGTGCAGTCCCGTGTGGAGTGCAGCTGCTTTCTTCCGCAGCACGCTTTGGTGTAGGGTCATTGTGGATGACTGGGCAAAGGAGCGCAGAAGCCAGGTCAGTAGCTCTGACGTGTACTTGGTAACAGCCCTACCTGGCAAAGCATCGCAGCTGCTTCAGACAATAAGGAGGAGGGCTGTAGAAGGTTCCTCTAAGCTTAAAGCCTGTTCACATAGGCTAAATTGGCTAGAGTGAATTCATCTTTCTGGCACTGGGCAGTGTTGTATAGACAACCTCAAACCAATTTGTGATATTTTGTGTCTATGCTCTGTTATGCCATGTTACAGAGCACGTTTTTAGTTTGGTTTTGTGCCTCAAGCAAGCTGTTGTCATGAGCAATTTGGAAAGCTTTTGGGAAAAGGGGGATTAAAAGACAACTCAGTTTTTTGAAGTTAAAATGTTCACAGTGAATTTCCTTGGACTGCTGCAGGGTTATATGGCACTTATGAAGGAAGACGGCGTACCTGATGACATGAAAGGCAAAGACAAGATTGTATTTGGAAACATTCACCAGATTTATGACTGGCACAGAGAGTACGTATTAACTTCAAAACCATCTGTTGAACAATTCTACCTAATAAATACTAGACTGATTTTTAGAAATTATTTTTTTCCTCAATTATTCAGATATAAGGTGAATACAGTTGATCTTGTGCTTTGTTGTAGATACTGTAGATTCAGCTTACAAATGTTGGTATGACAGATTTCCTTTAAATAAGAATGCTATACATAGCAAGTGCTTCAACTGAGAATCTGTAGTACGGATAGTATTACATACAAAAGTTCGTATTTTGTTTTCAAAAACGTTTTCTCCAAGAATACAGTCTAAAGAATTTGTTAGGGGATAGCATGATAATATGAGCACATCAGGCAGTCAGGCTAGGAAGCAGAAAAGTTTCAATCAATATATGAAATTCAAGAATTTTCTTAATGAACACCAATATCTTTTCATCTTGGCCTGGATTCAGTTTGTCCTTTTGGAAATCTATATTAAATTCTACAGTGTTAACATTGTCATTTTGGACATACATTAATATCCAAAGCTGCTGATAGGGAACACAAAGTGGACCTTGCAGTAAAGCCACTTCACCTTGCAATTACCTGTTGCTATAGAGTGTGCTATCAGAAAAAAATACTTACTCTGCTTATGTTCAGCTTCTTTTTAGGAGAGTTGGAGAAGTGCCTTGAAGATCCAGAAAAGCTGGGATCCCTGTTTGTTAAGCATGTAAGCGCAAAGATCTTTGTTGTCAGACCCCTATTGCTGCTACTGACCAACATGCTTGATTATTAAGGATTCACTTATGGTACAACATGGTTAAGAAAGTGCTGTAAAATATTCTTCTCTGTAAGAGATGGAGAGATAGCTTATGAATAGACTAAGTAAAAGCTCCAGGTTTTGTCCCCGGTATCTTCCTGTGGAGGGGAAATATGAATAAGGGCCCCATTTCTCAATTCAGTTCTAGTTCTGTGCAAGGGAATTGTCATTTCAATATGGCACCTGCCTTCTAATCCCAGGTATCCACAAAGTACCGTGGAACATAGGAAAACAAAAATAGGAAGGAGGCTCTTCTTTCTCATTTCAGTGCATACTAGTTCTGTATCCTTTTCCCTTCTGAGAATCACACTAGTGGTTGAGATTCCTCTGTCTTCATTTGGGGAAGGAATTGACAATGCCAGAAATTCATGATGTTTAATTTTAGTCCAACATGGTACCCTTTATAGCTTTATACAAGTCCCTGTTTTTCCACTTTTCATTTCTTTATTAAAAAGAATGACCTTGTGATACATGTGGATGTTACACCACTTCGGAAGGAAATCGGATGAAGTAGTTATCTAGAAACTAGATACCAAAACTCAGGACACATCAGACATGCCACTGATCGGTCATTTTGGTGTCTCTTTGTGTAGAAATACCATTTAATATCTGTTGGAGATGAGGTCTCAAGGTACTCTATGCAAGACAGCAGAAAGCAAACTTGCCTGCTAAATGTGATCATTTGCACAAGCGTGCAAAGACTGAAGACAGACTAGATTAAAGCAGATTTAATGGGTTTCAGATTTTCCCTTAAGTCTGCATTTGAAGTCAATACCAGGGTAGCAAAAAAAAAAGCACTGAATGAAACAGGAATGGAACAGTAACACTGGAAGCCAGGCCTAATTCCTGGACTAATGGTGGGGAATGAGCTGTTTCATTTCTGAGGGATTATTGGGGGAAAAAAAAAAAAAAGGCATGTGCAGAGGGCAGAATTCTGGCACTGGTAAAATGGGAAACCTGTTTCTGATTGCTGTTTTACGTGCTCCTGGTCTATTTGTAACTGAGTTGTCTTTGAAAGGCACCCTTACCACTCCAGATGGAAAGGCAAACTGTGATGCTATTACAACATCCTCTAGCAAAACCCTGGCTATCAGCTAGAACATGATGATTCAGTTCCTGCTCTTAATCTGAGTCCTTTTCAATCTCCATCTTATTTCTTCTTTTGCTTTGCGTTTGGCTTCACTGGTCAGTACTCCCTAAGTCTCTGAGCAGCAAAGCCTCTAACGGCAACCCGAAGCTAGTGAAATGATAAAGGTTTTGGAGTAGGTGGTAGTCACATATGGTGTGTCTGCGTTTCCTAACCGGCAAGGTCAGTAATCAGGAATGAAAATCTTAAGGCTGAAGTTATGCTCTGTCTCTTTTTCTTTGTAGCCTTGATGTTAAAAGCACATACGCAAAATGCAGAATCGGAGTTAAAAAATACTAGGGCCACAGTTTCCAGCCTACAACCACCATTTCCAGGCTATGTCACCCACGTCCCCACTCTAACTCCAGTAGGACAGTGAATACTAAATAGAAGACTTGAGAGGTTTCTCCTAACTACTCTGTACTATTAAACAGGAGGATATCATTTTTCTAATATATTATTATAATAATCATATTATTAAAATTAAATAAAAAATATGCTGTTTCAAAAGTTCCATCCGTTGCTCTTGCTAAAAGAAAAATGTAACCATTTTCATACTTAATTTAATTGTGGGACCTGCTAAGCCGTCGTTTCTAAACACCTGTTGTTCAGGAGTATTTATAGCTGTGGCAATTTTTTGACTTGTGTTGCCTTTCTAAAATCATCGCGATATTCCCAAATAAATGTGTTTTCAGGTCTGTAATTTCTGCATATGTAGCTGCTTCTTTTCCTCAAAAGGACCTTTTAAAGTTCATGCTTTTGAATAGCTGTACTTCTTAAAATAATATTCCATTTCAATATGGCATGTTTTTTTCTTGATGATGATGTATCATTCTGTATCTTTGCTCTTCTAGGAGAGAAGGTTGCACATGTACATAGTTTACTGCCAAAACAAACCAAAGTCTGAGCACATTGTCTCAGAATACATTGATACGTTTTTTGAGGTAAGTTCCTGAGAGAGGATATATGCAAAGTGAAGGGTGTGCACAAATCGTAAGCATTGTCAGAGCTGTTGACCAAAACAAAAATAAACCAAAAAAAGCACACACACCCCCCAAAAAAGGCAGCGTATATTGCTGTTACTGTTTTAAATTACAATTTTCTGCTATTTCTGTTCTGATATCTCAAGTCCGATACAGGCTCCTAGAGATGTATTAATCTCTAGAGGAAGAAAGCTAAAATTTAGTTATTAGATATTAATTTATCAGTAGTTTATTCTCATCCTTATTAGCCCTAGCTCAGGTAGTTAACAGTGCATATTATATGAAGTGGCAATTTTGGATAAGCAAAGATCATTATTGAAAATAGCCTATATACAACCTGTGATTGAAAAATTCCGTTTCACTCTACAGTCTTTTCTAAAGAAAGATATTGAAGTTGCTTGGATAGGAGAATACTTTGGAAACAGAGCTGATGCAGATGAGGGGAAGGACTCTAGCTTTTGCTAACTGAAGATTACTTTCTCCTTGAACTTTTGCCAATTTCTGCTCTGGTAGCCATTAATAGCGATATAGCCTACTGTGTTTCTAACTCAGTAAAACAAAACAAAGTTGTTTCTAACTGAACAAACAAAAAAATTGTTTTCTAAACAGGATCTAAAGCAGCGCCTGGGCCACAGACTTCAGCTGACGGACTTGCTAATAAAACCTGTGCAGAGAATTATGAAGTACCAGCTGTTACTAAAGGTAAAGTGATGTCGAGATGGATGATTTAATATATGTGTTAATGGATGTGTTTTCCTTTTTAAATTATGCTGGTGCTTTTCCACCCTCCTCCCAAACAGAACCCAGATTTATAAGCAATGTCGTATGATAATTTTCTGAGCATGTTCAGATAGTTATAAAAACTGCAGTAAATAGCTTGAGCAGAATTTTGCTTTTTCTTTTAACAGTTAAAGACTAAATGAAGTCAAGTCAGTGACTTGGAAATGTTTAGAATTTGTACCAATATCATACAAAGGGAAGAGGGATCTCCCAACTGTTTTCAGATGTAAACGTGATACGAGTTGTATTTGTCTGTGTGTCTTCTGCAGTCTGTCATTCTCTGACAGAGGATAGCAAATTCAGATTTTCTAAGATTTCTCTTTGCTGATTAACAAGAAAAGAACTCATGTTACTGTTTTTTTCTTTCTTTTTCAGGACTTCCTCAAATATTCGAAAAAAGCTAATCTTGACACAACAGAACTAGAGGTACTTGAGATTTTCTCTTAGTCATTTGAATGCTCTTTACTCTGAACTTCTCTTGTTTTGACACAGTCATGTTCCTTTTCTGATCTTCTTGAGAATGTGATTATAATTGTTTACTTTTTGCACTTCTGTTCTAAAGCTACCATAGCAAATGAAAAAAAAATTTATGCTGCTAACTCATTTGGAAGATAAAGCTTTGACTTTTTATTTGTCTTGAACAGAGAGCTGTAGAGGTCATGTGTATAGTACCAAAACGGTGTAATGACATGATGAATGTTGGCCGCCTGCAAGGATTTGATGTAAGTTGGCTGGGGTTTTGCTTAGAGTTTTTGTCAGGTTCTCTAGAAATTAACTATTAATGTTGCGGGGAGAAATGAGGTAGGGTGCTCCCTCACTATCTGGTTAGCTGGTGCAAAAAGCAGTGAATGAAAAATCAAGTCTTAGCTCTGCCAAGGACTTTTTCCTCACACACTTAGCCTGTTGTGTCAGTCATGCTAGGTAAGTCCTGCAAAACCTAGGGAGCACTGGTGTTATTACAGTTCCCTTGTTGACTAGTGACTTGCAAAACAGTGAAGTAATCAGTTATCAGCAGGTGAGCAGACCTGGCTCCAGTAATGTAGACAAAGGAGGCCTGGCTAAGGTCAGTAGAGTACGTGAGGGAACTGTAGCCCTTCTCCTTGTTTTGCTAAGTCTAGAAGAGATGCAAATTGGCTGTTGAAGCAGTAGCATGCATCATCCAGACCATAGTCACATGTTCTACGTGGAAAGCCCTTTCTGATCTGTTATGCAGGTATGAACTTGAATTCTTTCGGCACCCTGGAAAACATTGGAAGAATATATGAGTTACTATGGGAGCTACTGAGAATAGAGAGATTAAAGCTTTAGTGTTACAAGCCTCAAATTGCAGTATGAATTGAAAAGAGTGTAGTGGATTTTGTTTGGTGGGTTTTTTTTCTTGATGATGATTTTTTTCTGAGAGAGGGCACAAGAATGCCTTGTGTATAGGACGATCAATGAATACATAATGGTCAGTGACACTCAGAAACTGAGAAATACACAAAGCTGTTTTGGCATGAGCATCTGCTCAGAAAGGTTGATTGGGGAAAGAAATTAAGAACAGCACTAAATGTGTTTCTGCTTGCCTCTGTGTTTAGGGTAAAATTGTAGCCCAGGGTAAGCTCCTGCTCCAGGACACATTCTTGGTTACAGACCAGGACACGGGACTTCTGCCACGCTGCAAGGAGAGACGGGTCTTCCTGTTTGAGCAGATTGTCATTTTCAGTGAGCTGCTAGATAAAAAGAAAGGTTTCTCCATGCCCGGATTCTTGTTTAAAAACAGTATCAAGGTAACTGTTGTGTGTGAGTCTTTGCGTCCCCTGCACAAACTCTGCTAAGGTAACAGTTTCCGATTCAGTGTGGAGTCACTAGTGACGTCTAGATGTGCAATCATAAAGTACAGTGAGGTGTCAGTCTTTTCCTGAAATTACTACTTACCAAATTTGTGCTCACTCTGATGATAAATGGAAATCTTTGGATCCTAATACCCTGATGCTTCCCATGTGAAGCATACCAAAACAGGTGTTCTTGTACAAAGCTGGACAAGCATTCACAAAAAGTTTAGTCTTCAGCTCTGTGCTGTGTGTATGCCACATTGCAAAGTCATTGCAAACAAAGATAACTCTTTATGTGTCCCTTATTTTCAGTTTCAGCTGAAATCAGTAGGTAACATTTTAAGTAGTGCCACCTTCTTAGACCTGTCAGCTCTTCCTCAAACAAAAAGCGTTTACCCCCACTTCGAGCTTTCCCTGAAATGAAAACTGATGATAGTAGAGCCCACCAGCCCTCCTCATGACGCTTTTTGGGTGGACCTTGCGTCCCCTAATTCACCTCAGTGCTCTGCCTGCCAGCCAAGCATCCTGTTCAGCGCTGGCTGGACAGCCTGTTCTGTGGCATTGCTGTATCTGCAGCAGAAGCCTTTGGTGTGGGCCAGCAGTAGAGCTCCATAGCAGGCTCAGCATTTTAAATAACTCAAAGGGAGAATGAGGGAGGATGGAGAACATGGGGCCATACTGACCAGCTGGAGATTGCTCAGGCACAGTGTGTCAGTAAGCTGTATGCTGATCCTTAGTTTACTGTAATCCTTCGTTTCGTGGTAGTATTTTACTGAAGGAAAAGATGGTCATCATTTGAAGATCTGACTCTCAGCTCCTAAGTAAGAGATTTTAGAGCTATATTTCTCATAAAATATGTGAAGTAAATTCTCCTTTTTTTCACGAAGGTGAGTTGCCTTTCCCTGGAGGAAAATGTGGACAGCGATCCATGTAAATTTGCACTAACATCAAGAACGGGCGATGTCACGGAGACCTTTATTTTGCATTCTGCCAGTCCAGGAGTCCGCCAGTTATGGATCCATGAAATTAACCAAATTTTGGAAAACCAGCGCAACTTTTTAAATGGTAAATTATTTCCTCTCACTGAAAGTTCATAATTGAACGACTTCTCTCTCATTTGTTTCTTGGCTTTGAAATGTTTTGCAAGTTTCCTTTTTCCTGATCTAATACAGAACAGTTGGGGAATATGTGCCACATTTCTGCTTCAGAACAGATGCTAGCGTTTATTATAAGAGCGGTAGTCTGAATTTACATGGTGTTCTCTTGGTGAAATTTTCCAAATGTTTTGTAGGAGTGAATCAAGATTGGCACCATCCGTTGAGGTGGGGAGCTTGTGTACCCCTTTTAAGCAAATGCAGGCCTTTAAAGGCTAAAACCAAGTGGAATTTTAAGCATCTGAATAGATATTCAGGATATATTTTGCTAGTGTTATTTTGGTTGCCATTGTTGTCACATCTTACTGTGGCAACAACATTCAGATTCTGCAGGAGAGAAGTAGAAGACAGTAATGTCTGCTGTGACACTTGAAGTTTCTTGCTTTATTTTTGTATCCATCGGTTGTTGCCCCAATCTAGATTTTTTTTTTTTTTTTTAAGAGTTGTGATGAATGGAACAATGCGCTGAGAATTCAGTCACACCTGGGTTTTTTTTCCCAGCTTGGCTGCTGACTGACAATGTGACCTGGAGGAAAACATTCCTCCCTGGTTTCAGATTTTTCTTCTGTAATAGAGGTACATATAGGAGGTTACGAAGGTGTGATATAACAAAGTGACTTGAGGTCTACAGCATGACCAGCATCTCTAAGGGAATTTCTCTTATTTGAACAGCACTCTCCTTTTGCCAGTAACCACGTCTGTTTTATACATTTTTTCTGTTCCCTTCCTGCCCTCCTTTCCCTGATCACCTCCCCTCCTGCCCCCATTGCAGCCTTGACGTCCCCAATCGAGTACCAGAGGAACCACAGTGGTGGTGGAGGCGGCAGC